CCATATTCATCGCGCTAAAAAGCATCAGAATTACAGCGATTCCACGTTCGGAAACTGTCAATAATTCGACCCGTCCAATGTTCTACGCCCGGTTTTTTCTCAGAACTCGCACAGACGGCCGACGTGGCTGAACGCAACCATCTGCGAAGGTCGAAGACACGATGCGATCGCCCAAGGGCTCCAATAGTACCCCGGCCCGTTTGAAAACAGTGCGGGCGCCCGCAAACATGATGAACGCGGTCAGCGCAGGCGCCCCCTGGACCCCGTCAGACTGCCAAGACATAAGAGATGGAAATCGCGTTTGTGCCCTCGCCTTTATAGGGCGCAGAACGCTCAGCGCGTCCCGAGGGGCAGCGAGTCGCCGCAGGATGGCCCGGATGGGTCCAGGGGAGGTAGACGCGGCCAACAACCCCCGCCTCCCCCTCGTGATCCCCCCCCCCCCCCCCTCTTTCCCCTCCCCATCCTGCCCCTCCCCCACCTCCTCCTCTTACTCCAAATTCCCCCTCTCATCCCCCCTCCCCCCTCTCATCCCCCCCCCCCTCGTCGTCCTTGCTTTCTCCCATGCCCTCCTGTTCAATCCCCGTCGTTATCATCCACTTCCTTTCCCCCTTTCCCCTGGCTTGTCCCCTGCGCCCCCTGCCCGCCTTGCCCCCATCCCGATCCAGGCGCGGGCGCAAGGGCGTGAGGGTTGGGAGCAAGTACGATGTTCAGATACGCCACGGGGCACGACCTGCGCGCGGGCACAGATATCGCGACGGTTGGGAACAATACGTGACCATGCTAAGATGTTAAAAATTCGCCGAGTGGCACGATCCGTGACCGGGCACAGGGATCGTAAACGCCGGGGGTAAGATTGGACGATGTTAAAATCAGTCGACGGCACGATTTGCGAGCAGGCACAAAAATCGTGGGGGTCGGGTGTCCTCCAGGCGCCTGCGACACGGCCGAGGGGCCCACGCCGTGGGCGTCCACGTGATGCAACGTTGCGCAATGCAAAGGCTCACGTCACGGCGCACTGCGGAGCGCCGCTTTTGGCACGCATGATATGTGAGATTGTTGCGACACGCGCATTGAATCTGCGCGGTTTGGGCCTCAGGGACAAGATCTGATGCATGCGTTATGACAACGCTGGAACAGCTAAAGTGATGGCAACAAAGACACTCGCGCGATTCATGGGTGGCGGTTGGCCCTATAGACCAAGTTGGGACGTGCGCGCGATAACGCCGTCCTTCGGCGCCACCAAAACAAATTTCACAAAAATGCGAAATATTTGGTCGGAGCTTCGGTTTTGTTTCCTGGGGGGCGCAAGACCTGACAATGCACGCCCGCGTGCACAACATACCCTAAGCTGCCGGGGATCGCGTGCTGGATCGGGGCCGGGGCGTTACCGCTACGGAGGGGAAGGGGGACGGGGGGGAGGGGGGGGTAACATGCGTTATCCCTAGGGTGGAAAAATAATGGCCTCCTGGTGGTACCGTGCCGCCGCGGCGGCCCGCGACGTCCCCTGCGCCAAAGGTTGTGAGCGCAAGGGCGGACGACTATTACGGCCCCTTCGAGTGCTGTGCAGAGTGAGCACCGCCTTTGTGGGTCCAGTCATGTTTGTATGGCGGCAATACGTGGCGGGCGGGGGTGGTAAAGGGGGGCCCCAGTCGTTCTTCCTGCCTTAATCGACCTCGCGACGTTACGCGTAACACGTCCTAGTCATCATCACCACCACCATCATCATCGCCATCATCATCACCACCATCATCATTACACTCACCATCACCATCCTCCTCATCAGCATTATCGCCAACCACAGCATCACCAGCATCATTAACGTCATCGTCATAATCATCATCGTTAGTGACATCGTCGTCTTCACCACCTCCATCATCATGATCATCAGCATCATCATCATCATCATCGTCGTCATCAGCATAATCATCATCAGCATCATTATCGTCAGCATCATCATCCTCAGCATATTCATCATCAGCATCATCGTCATCATCAGCATCATCAAAATCTTCATCATGATCAGCAGCATCGTCATCGCCATCGTCATCGTCATCATCATCGTCGTCATCATCATCAACATTATCATCATCAGGATCATCTTCATCAGGATCAGCATCATCATCACCACCACCATTATCATCATCATCAGCAGCAGCATAAGCATCGCCATCACGACCATTATCATAATTGCCAGCATCAACATCACCATTCAGAGCACCATCACCAAGATAATCACCAGCAGCAACAACACCATCCTCATCATCGAGTGCGGAAGCGCAAGGGTGCAACTGCGCGGTACAAGTGTGCGAAGAACACCGCGCGGTGCCGTCTAGTGGTGTGCAGCGCCTTGCTGCTCCTTGTGCCGACCTGCTGCGCCGTGCTGTGCTATACTACTATACCATGTGATTATATGCCACGTGATGCCATGCTATGCTACGAAAGCGAATGCATGTTCGGCTATGTTATGGTGCGCGATGATTTGCATCACCTGTGGGGGATGCGACATCTGGCATCGGCATAGATCTGAGAGCCGCCACCGAAGTCGGCTGCGGTTTCGGCTTGCTTCGTGTTATGCATGTGGGCGGGCCGAGGCTGCGCAACATCGAGAGAGGCCCTGCCCCACCTAGGGGCTGGATCAGCTACCCCCCAGCTGGCGCATGTTTCCCACATCTGTCCAGTGTTTGTGCCTTGATTGTCCGCCATGTGAGGCTGTCCCGTGCGACGAAGTTCAATCTGTCGTGCTGTGCCAGATGCGTAGATGGAGCTGTACTGACACAATCGATTCCCCCATCTCTCCCAAGTCGAGGAACCACGAACGGCATGAACTTCAATTCTCGGAGGTCCGCGGGGATTCCCTGAATCGGCGCTGGACTCCCCTCCCTGGCGCGTGGAGCTCGCCCGGCGCAGGGGGGTCCCAGCGCCGTTCCAAGACATCCGCACAGAGCTCCGAAAAAGGATGTTCATGCTGCGCTTGGTACTTGGACCCAGGCTAGGGACAAGAGGTGACACACGTTGCAGCGTTCTGTGCGGCGCCCGCGGGATGCACGGCTTCCCCTGGGCCGTCGGCGACCCGAGGATGAGGAGGAGGAGAAAGAGGAGGAGGTGAAGGAGGGGGAGGGGGAGGAGGGAGGAGGAGGAGGGAGGAGGAGGAGGGGGAGGGAGGAGGAGGAGGAGGAGGAGGAGGAGGAGCAGAACGAGGAGGAGGGAGAGGAGGAGGAAGAGGAGGAGGAGGACGGGTCGCCTAAGCCATTCGGAGAAACCCTCCATGCGGCGCCCGCGGGACCGCTGCACAGCAAGCTGCGCTGGCACGATGACGGCACTGGCCGCAGGCGGCAGGACGTCCTGTGTGGCCTCTGCCCTGGGCCCTGCTGCGATCTGCCATGCTGACGCTGTGTTTGTCGGGCGTTGGCAGAACTGGGTTTAGTGGGACCTGGTTTAGTGAAGTGTACTGGGGGGACGCCCCCTCCCCCGCCCCGTTCCTCTGACCGGAACTGCCGTCACCCTAAAAAACACCAATTACGGCAGACCTGGTTTAGTCATTCTGGCCCATTTAGGGGCTCTGGGGCCCTACTACTGACCGGGTCCCATTACCTGGGGTCTTGGCTACATCCGAGCTTGGTCTTTTCACGTCGACCTCTCCTGAGGAGTGGGACACTTCCACATGATTTCTCGCCTCGCCATCGCTCGGACGTCCATTCCCCGTGCACTTCTGAACTTCGTGCGTGCTCTGTTTTTGCTTGTCCTCGCCGCGAGGAAGGGAAGAGACGCGGCAGCGGCAAAGTCGCGGCAGCGGCCGATACCGGCCCCGGCCGCCCCCCTCCCGCCCCCCCCCAAAGGCAACATCACGCTTCGTGCCGACCTCCGAGTGGGCCTTGGGCTCGTCCCGGTGGGGGGTCTGCTGACCCCGGTCAGTTCGAGGCCGTGTCCGTCAGGCTCTGCAGGGATCCTGCCAGATCCTGCAGGATGCTGCGCTCAAGCCTGGATCGATGCACCCCTGGCTCTTCAGGATCCTGCAAGGACTGGCGCTCTGGCTGACCCCTGCTTACACTGACCCCCGCTGCAAACTCCCGACCTAAAGATTACTAGACGGCACCACCGCGAAACATGACGCTACCGGCCCCCTGCCCCCCCCCTCCCCCCTGGTAAAGCCCGCTATCGCCCATGTTTGAAACAAACACTCCTGTGGTGTCCCATCGAGTTCTTTATTACTCATGGTTAATTACCTTGTCCAGCTTAATAAAGACGTGAACGTGATGTGGAGCAAGCGAAGAAGAGCAACACATCTGATGCGCATGCACTCGCACTCACACGTCCATAATTACGTACGCACGCGCGAGCACCCACATGCACACATGCGCATATCCACAAAAAACGAAGTATCCAAGGATGGAGAGACTCACCCTGGAGACAAAAGGTGATAGGCCGAGCCATTTTCGTCCTGCCCAGAGCGGAAAAGCGTCTCGAGGACAGGGAAGCCATTGGTCATGGGCTCCATTCGCAACGCATTCTTACAGGACGAGTCTGCTGGGGGACCGTTTGTCCGTGGCGATATGGGTTTTCGATTCCAGGCAAGTGGTGGGAGGCGGCTGCCAGGCTGACGTCCAACTGATTCTTGTGAGGAAGCACCCAGAGGTCTCGCACGGCAACTCGAGACCCAATTTACGTCGGATTCCCCCTCGCAGCTGCGCTGGACCATCGCCGCGCGAACGCCGCCCCCCCCCTCCCCCTCACACACGCACACCTCACGGGGCGGACACGTAGAATGGATCGTACAAGTGTTGCGTGCCGCGCGAGGACTCCAGAAAGTTCCTCATATCGGGCGTTGGCAAAACTGGGTTTAAAGGGACCTGGTTTAATGATGTGTACTGGGGGACGCCCCCCCCGCCATCTCCACCAAACGGAAATGCCGTCACCCGAAAAAAAAACACCAGCTACGGCAAACCTGGCTCAGTGTTTCTGGCCAATTTAGGGGCTCCTGGCTGTACCCGATCATACCCTGTTCAAAGGAAACCGCGACGCGCCTCGCCCTCGTCGGCCTGGCCGTCGCCAGCAGCTGCCTGCACGGCGGTGGCTCCTGCTGGCTCCGCTGGCTGCGAGGCAACGTCGACCGGAGCCACGGGCGCAGCTGGCTCGGCGGCGACTGCTTGCACGGCGGCGACTCCGGCTGGCTCGGCGGCGGCTGCATGCACGGCGCCGACTCCGGCCGGCTCGGTGGCTTGCTGCGCAGCAGCACCGACCGGTTCCAGAGGCGCTGCCGGCTCCTCCTTCGCCTCCTCGTCCTCCTCCCCGTCCGCCTCGTCGCCCTGGCCCTCCTCGTCCTGGCCCTCGGGCGCGGCCGCCTGCACGGCGGGGGAGAGAGGCTGCCCGGCAGCATCCACCGGCGCCGAGGGCGCTGCTGGCTCCCCATCGCCTGGCCCGTCGTCCGGGCCCTCCTCGTCCTGGCCCTCGGGCGCGGCCGCCTGCTCGCCGGGGGCGCCTGCTGGCCCCGCGGCTGGCTGCGCGGCGACGTCGACTGGCGCTTGGGGCGCTGCGGGCTCCTGCTTCTCCTCTTCGCCCTCCTTCTCCTCCTCCTCCTCCTCCTCCTCCTCCTCCTCCTCCTCCTCCTCGTCCGCACCGTCGTCTGGGCCAACCCCTTCTTGACCTTCGGGCGCAGCTGCCTGCACGCCAGTGGCGTCTGCTGGCGCAGCTGCTTGCACGGCGGGGGTGCCTGCTGGATCAGCGGATGGCTGCGCGGCAGCAGCTACCGGCTCCAGGGGCGGTGCCTGCTCCTCCTCCTCCTCCTCCTCCTCCTCCTCCTCGCCCTCGTCCTCCTCTTCGTCCTCCCCGTCGTCCGGGCCATCCTCTTCCTGGCCCTCGGGCGCGGCTGCCTGCGCAGCGGTGGCTCCTGCTGGCTCGGCAGCTGGCTGCGCAACAGCATCAACCGGCGCCTGGGGCGCTGCTGGCTGTTCGTTAAGGCCTTCCTCGTCCTGGCCTTCATTCTCGTCCTCGTCCTCGTCCACCTCGTCGTCCTGGCCCTCGGACGCGACCGGCTGCACGGCGGCGACTCCTGCCGGCACGGCGGCTGCTGGCTGCGCAGCAGTGTTAATTTGATCCATAGGCGCTGCCATATCCTCCTTCTGCTCCTCGTCCTCCTCCCCCTCATCGTCGCCCTGGCCCTCCTCGTCTTGGCTCTCTGGTGCACCTGCTTGCACGGCGGGGGCGCCTGCTGGATCAGCGGATGGCTGCGCGGCAGCAGCTACCGGCTGGAGGGGCGCTGCCTGCTCCTCCTCCTCCTCCTCCTCCTCCTCCTCCTCCTCCTCCTCCTCCTCCTCGTCCTCCTCTTCGTCCTCTCCGTCGTCCAGGCCATCCTCTTCCTGGCCCTCGGGCGCGGCTGCCTGCGCAGCGGTGGCTCCTGCTGGCTCGGCAGCTGGCTGCGCAACAGCATCAACCGGCGCCTGGGGCGCTGCTGGCTGTTCGTTAAGGCCTTCCTCGTCCTGGCCATCATTCTCGTCCTCATCCTCGTCCTTGGACGCCCGAATCATGCGGGATAGCTGCGCTACGTGGTACCTCCAGTTTGGGCCTCCGAGGCGCGAATCTGTAGTTATCCCTGACTGCCCCCCAACCCTGATGATTCGGGATGGTTGGACGCCCGAGTTATCCGGGATAACTGCTGTCTGGGGTAACTCTGGTCTGGGCCCCCGAGGCGCGAATCTGTGGCTACCCCTGGCTGCCCCCAGCCCTGATATGACTCGGATCTCTGACGTCGGCTTCGTCGTCCTGGCCCCAGAAAACTCGACCCATTCCCTGGGACCGGCTTCTTATCCTGAATCCTCTTTTGGCGCCCCATGGGGCCCGGCGAGGGCATCCAGAGGCCGAAACCAGCGACAGACCTCCGCTGAATCGTTGTTTGACGGCCCGGGGGCCCGGCGAAGGCCTCCAGAGGCCGAAGCCGGCGCCACACCTCCGTCTTGACTTTTGTTCCGTGCGTGGGATCTCTCTGGGCCGCTGTCCGGGCCCCCGTCCTGGCCCTCGGGCGCGGCTGCCTGCTCGGCCGGGGCGCCCACGGGAGCGGCAGCGGGCTGCGCGGCAGCATCCTCCGGCGCCGCGAGCGCAGCCTCCTGCTCCTGGCCCTCTTCGGCCTCGCTGTCCCCCTGGTCCTCGCCCTCCTCGTCTTGTTCCTCGGCGGGGAAGGGGGGGGGGGGAATCACACAAAGCGGATCAGGGAGGCGAGGGACGGCAAGAGGGAGGGAGGGATGGAGGTCGTCCTCGCCCTCCTCGTCTTGCTCCTCGGTGGGTGGGATTGGGAATGGCACGAAACAGAAGGACGAGGCGAGGAGATGCAAGGGGGAGGGAGGGAACGGGGAGGGGCAGCAGAGCAGGGCGAGGTGACAAGGCCGAGGATGAGATGAGGACGCCGATGAGGCCGAGGCTGAGCATGAGGATGAAGCCCATGATGATGAGGATGAGAGGGGGAAAGAGGGGATGAGCAAGAGGAGAAGGACGACGAGGTCATGTGCTCGTCTCATCAGTGCCTGCACGGCAAACCCAGATGCGGATCCAAGCTGACATCGGAGGCGGCGGGTCAATGCGGAACGTAAACCACGAGTCCGAGGATTACGTGAGCACCCCATTGGCCGACAGCCGCCAAAGTAGCATAATTTGCTGGCCGCGAGGGGAGGGGAGGGGGGAGGGGGAAGCACACTCCCTGGGCGGCAAACCCCGGTCTCGGGCGGCCGGGTGTGGCGAGAGACCCCCGCGGACGCGGCCCGAGAGGCCGAGACCGAGAGCCCACGGGGCGCCCGTGCAGTGCCCACGAGGCGCCCACGGGCGGGAGGTGGGCGAAACTTCGGCGGGGCAGCCCGACCGCTCAGAAGAACGGGCAAGCTCACCCCACAGTCGACCCTGATGGGACAAGGCAGGCGAGCGGACACGCGAGACCCCGCCGCCAGGAGCACGGCGGGCGCGGGAAGCGAACACGCAAGGCACGAGGGCGCCCTCGGTCTGACCGGGTCGACCTGCCAGTCGTACTGACTGTGCAATCGCCGTGCACGGCAGCGGCCGCGGTTGAGCAAGCCACACTGTGTCTCACGTGGACGGCACCCGCGGCGACGTCGACAGCGAGCCCTGGTCACATGGAAAGGAACTGCTGTCGGCCTTCATCCCCATCCTTTCCGTACCCGCTCTGTTATCACTTCACAACTGCGCAAACATGATCGACCCACGGACCCGGAAAGGAATATAGAAATGTAAGGCATGGCAACGTTTCAAAGACACTTGATTGGGCGACGGGCAAATGCAATGCTGAATGTATCGATCTTGATGTACTGTGCCAGGGGCTTTGCTGTGCTGCACCGTGCTGAACTGCGATGTTCCATGCCGCGATTGTGCTCTATATAGCGTTGTGGATCGAGTCCTCCCTGGCATCCGAGTCCTGACCGAACTGATCTGGATCTTAAGCTCGAGCTGCCTGAACACATAGTAGCTGCCCCAGAACTAATCGACAGAGGGGACATGCCAGGAGGACGCCCCGCGGAACATCCCAAGGGACGCGCCAGGCGACGTGCCAGGGGACGTGCCATGGGCACGCACCGCGGGACGTGCCAAAGGGACGCGCTACGGCACGTGCCAATAGACGTGCCGCGGGAGGTGCCAGGGGACGCGCCGCGCGACGTGCCAGGTGGACTCGCCAAGGAACGCGCCAAGGAACGTGCCAAAATGCAATGCTGAATGTATCGATCTTGATGTACCGTGCCGACGGCTGCGCTGTGCTGAGCGTGCTGAACTGCGATGTGCCATGCCGCGATTGTGCTCTAAATAACGTTGTGGATCGAGTCCTCTTTGCATCCGAGTCATGACCGAACTGATCTGGATCTTAAGCTCGAGCTGCCTGAACACATAGTAGCTGCCCCAGAACTAATCGACAGAGGGGACATGCCAGGAGGACGCCCCGCGGAACGTCCCAAGGGACGCGCCAGGCGACGTGCCAGGGGACGCGCCATGGGGACGCACCGCGGGACCTGCCAAGGGGACGCGCTACGGAACGTGCTGGGGGTTTCGCTCGAGACATCCTGTCAAAACCCCAAAAGTTCCTGCGCGCGGGACGTGAAAACAAGCATTTCGCCTGAGACATCCTCTGAATTCTGGCTCCCCACCCTGGGCCGGCGCCCTTTCCGGGAAAAGCGGCATGAACACATAATTTCTGCGTACACATCGAGGGTTTCTCGGCGATCCGCGCGGAGCTCTTGGATCTGCGCTGGACTTCCCCGTCCCTGGCGCGCGGAGCGCCAAGGAGCTCCAGCGCAGACCCAAGGAATCCGCGCTGACCGTCGACAGTGTCCGTTTATGCCCGAGGCGCCGCCAGGGGGCTCCATCGCAGATCCACGAAATCCGCGCAGACCGTCGAGCATTTGTGTTTCATGTAGATGCTTCTTCCTCGAACGCTACGAGGGGCTCGCCATCGCTCGGACGTCCATTCCCCGTGCGTTGCTCGGTTTCGTGGTTTCTTTTCCCGCACGATGAGCCACGATGCTCCTCGATGGTCTTCGCCGAACAGGAAATGCACACGTCCGAACGATGCCACGGCCACCAGGGGGCAAACGCTGCCTTGTGGGCGCCCGCGGTCTAAGGGCAACGGCCACAGCGACGACAGACGAGCGAACGCAGCGACGCGAAGGGAAAAAGGAGGACATGATAGAGGAGGGGGAGCAGGAAGGAAGGAGAGGGAGGAAGAGAGGGGGGGAAGGGGGGAGGAGGGCTGAGGAGTGGGCGGTAGGATGAGGAGGCGGGAAGTGGAAGAGGAGGACCAGTGCAAACCCAAGAGTCATCAACGATGTTGGAATAGACCCTTCTTCGAAGTTCCCTCTTCATAGGCCCCTACAACGTATCATTTCCATTGAGGGAACTGCCTCGTTGGAAGGCAACCGCTTGAAGGCCCTCAAGCGTGCCAAACTATTGTTCTCGGGATTCCAACGCCATGGATCAACCTGACAGTTGCGCCTTGACGATCCTAAGTCGTGCCAGAAAGCCATTCTTAGGACTTCAACACCGCGAGCCAACGTAACTGTTGCATCCTCATAACCCAGAACCCTTCAAACACATGATTTCTTGTAATTTGACCATGGGAACCATTGAAGCTATTGCACATGTGATTAACGAATGTGCGCGGCGATGAGGCGGAAACCGCATATTGAAACTGAGCCGCCCTCAATCCGTGAAGCTCTGGCAATGTTTAAAACGAATGGGCGCGGTGCTAAAGCGAGAGCCACATCTTGAATACGGGTTCCCCTCAATGCGTGAAATCCTTGCGCATGTTTAAAGACATGTACGCGGCGCTGAGGCGAGAACCACATTTAAACATGATGGACCCACGAACCCGGAAAGTATGTAGAACCGCATGCATGGAAACGTTTTCACGACACCGTATTGGGCGACGGGCACTTCCACGAGACACCCCGCGAAACATTCCACGAGACACGGGCGACCGTTTTCAACGTTTTCCTGGAAACATTCCACAAGACACCCCGCGAAACAGTCCACGAGACACCCCACAAAACATTCCACGACGACAGGCAACCACTCAACCAACGCGGTGTGGTCGTGCTGGGGAGTGGTCGTGCTGGGGTGTGGTCGTGCGTGCGTGGGGGGTGGTCGTGCTGGGGGGGTAGTCGTGCTGGGGGGTGGTCGTGCTGGGGCGTGGTCGTGCTGGGGCGTGGTCGTGCTGGGGCGTGGTCGTGCTGGGGTGTGGTCGTGCTGTGGTGAGGTCGTGCTGGGGTGTGGTCGTGCTGGGGTGTGGTCTTGCTGGGGTGGGGTCGTGCTGGGGTGGGGTCGTGCTGGGGTGTGGTCGTGCCGGGGTGTGGTCGTGCACCTGGAGAAGGCAAATCTAAATCAAATCTATACGCACATACGTAAAAGCACATGGATTCGTGCACCTGGAGAGGGCAAATCTACAAGCACATACGTAAAAACAAATGTGTTCGTGCACCTGGAGAAGGCAAATCTCTGGGGCGCCCAGATCCCTCAAGTTCTACAAAACAAGCGATTCGCTCGAGACATCCTCGGTAACTCTGCGGAGCAAGCATTTCGCTCGAGACATCCTCAACACACGAAAGAGTGGCCCGCACCCTGTGATTTATCGATCGGGATTTCAAAAACAAGCGTTTCGCCTGAGACATCCTCAAATTTTAATCTGCCGGCCCACCTCGACCTCGATATTTATCAGGGAAAGAATCCGCTGGCCCACCCCAGTTGAAGCACCGGGGACAGGTTTACCAACTACAAGAGAACCCTGCGCCCTTTCCGGGAAAAAATCGCGGCGCTGAGGCGAGAACCACTT